ATAGTCATAGTCTCCATTGATATATCCAAAAATACTGTAGCCTTCAGGCAAACGATATTCTGGGCACGTTTGGCGATGAAAACTAGCATTTTAGTAAAGCGCGTATCGCCAGGCACCCAATTCATCTCGTAAACAGCGGCAGTGACTCCCTGACTCTATAGGGTATTCAAATTATTATTAATTATTATTAAAATCGATCAGAATCAATATTCCCCCACCGATGCAATTAGCCAATCACTGAAAAAGCAAATCAAATAGATTTCCGATATGGCCGAGATCATGAAGAGCGCCAGCTTGACCGTATGATCGGCACTCAGGCCCAGGGTCATCTGAAAGCCCACGAAGCAGACCATTACCGAGGAGGTGAGAAAGTTCAAGAGCAAAGGCACTCCGAACACTGAGTTCATTACATCCGAGAGTCTGTAAAAGTTTAGAGTCTGTAGTAAGTCAAATCCCAATCGAAATCTACTCATGAGCCTTGCCTCAACAGTTTGTTGTGATAGAGAATCAGTTCCCGCAGCGCTGCCAAGTCCTGGGCATAGCCATCGGGCTCGCTGCCTGCTTTGATCTTAAACTCAGCCAGGGACTTGGAGAGATAATCGAAATGCATGACTAGCTGCGTATTGACGGCGGTTATTGAGAGATCCGCCGAAATGTGGCCCGTGGTCGCAGTGTAGGCGCCTCCCACTTGGAGCAGATACATGAGGTAGTAGCTCCAATTGTCGTGATAGTTCCAGGGCGATGTCGGAAAGAAGGGCATGCCCTTCTCCAAGTCCGGCACGTGGAGCAGCCAGTGATGTATGGCGTAACGCACATAGGTATAGAAGCTATAGGTGACGACGAGCACCAGAAAGAGTCCGCTGAAGGAGCGAAAGATGAAGCGGCAACGTTCCTTGTAGTACAGCACTCGATAGTCGTCCTGCTCCTGGCGGACTGCAGCTGGAAAGATTGACTCCAGCTCGGCCACCAAATCGTTCAGCTTGTCCTTCTGACGCCACACGCTGGCCGTCTTCAGCTGGCTGACCAGGACGAAGCCCAGATAGCAAATCGTCATGCAAATCTCAACAATATGCTCGGGCTTATTGAAATAGAACACGACATAGATGAACTCCATTAGGAAATTGAAATTCATGTTCAACTGATTCAGCAGAAGGACAATGTACAGCCAGTGACTGGGCACTTTATTGAAGCTAGGCGACTCAAAGGGATCCACGCCCAGCGTGTGGTAGAAGAACACGGGCAAACTCATAAAGTCATTGAAGGTGGCAAACTCCCCGGGCATGTTGTCTACTAGGCTAATATCCTCAACTATTCCACTCGAGCTCTTGGCTGAAACTAACTGATGAGCTACTTTCACGTATAGCCACTATTTATGGCTTTCTTTTGGCTGTTTGTCAAAACCACAAAACTCTGTTTTGACCATTTATGAAGACCACAAAATTAATTATATATGCGTAAATGTCCTCTAATTATACGAGTCCAGTATTTAGGGAGGGGGAAGGACATAGAATACGCTAACAAGCTACTCAAATAATGCTGAGGCTATGCTTGAAATTCGAAATGCTAAGCTACAAGCTAACAGACAGATTTGCTATAACTTATACATACCTATTATGTATATATGTACATATATACACATATGTACGTGTTCAATAAACTGCGTTTATACTTTTAGTATTATTCATAGAGAATTTTGAGCATTTGACATCTAAATTTGTAATTAATTAATCAATTAATTTTTTTTAAATAGATGTACCCTGTCCAAAAGTTCCTTTTGAATGAAATCGGTTTCTTAAAAAAAATAAACAAAAAAAATAAAATAAAATGTGAAATTTTAATATAAAACCTTAATTAATATGCCCATAAATACAAATGTAGGTACAAATGTAAATACAAATGCATTCATATGTACTTACACGTCTGCAAACAACACCATACGTACGCAAGTGTGTTTGTTTTACTCACACTCAAAGATCAACCAATTGCATCGTTTCTTTAACGAGCTCTTTCGCGATCGGCTTTCACCGTTTCGATTA